GATGTTATCAATGGCAATCTTTGGGTGGTACAAATATGGGCTAAATATAGTAATATCAAAAAATGTGCCCTGGCCAAGTAACTCAGTTGTTTGAAGCATATCCCATACACCAGGGTTGATTCCTGGTCAGGACACATCCCTAGGCTACAGGTCTGATCCCCAGTCAGGGTGTGTGCAACCGATTGATGTTTCTATCTCACATTGATGTTTCTCTCTCTCCCTCCCTCCCTCTCTCTCCCCCCCCGGCCCTCTCCCTTCCTCTCTCTAAAATCAATAAAAATATATCTATATTTTAAAAGTTTGCTTACTTGTATTTTCTAACTGCTTTGTAATAACAAAAGGTTATTTTAATTTTAAAAATCTCTCAGAAAGGAAAAAAATAATAAAATAAAATAAAGGGGAAAAAAATCTCTCAGAGAAACCTGTCATTTAAAGGAATGTTTTGGCCCTAGCTAGTTTGGCTCAGTGGATAGAGCGTCGGCCTCCAGACTGGAGGGTCCCAGGTTTGATTCTGGTTCAGGGCACATGCCCGGGTTGCAGGCTCGATCCCCAGTAGGGGGTGTGCAGGAGGCAGCCAATCAATGATTCTCTCTCATCATTGATGTTTCCATCTCTCTCTCTCCCTCTCCCTTCCTCTCTGAAATCATTAAAAATATATTAAAAGAATAAAGGAATGTTTTTCAAGGGGGTAATTATCTCTCATTTTAACTATTTAATAAAATGGATTTTCATAGGATGGGGTACATGCTGGACTGGAGCAGTGCCTTAAAGTTTGTTATATCAGCACCTAACCTATAATCACATATTTTCTTATGCAAAATATGTAACAATTCATGCCACGAGAGTAGAGTAAATGTTTCTTTAGCTCTGTTTCAACACCAGGCAACTCCTGGATGTCGAGAGCTCTGAGAGCACTCACCATTCCCGTAAGCCCAGTCATCATTCATACGGTGGCGCACTTTCTGGTAAATGGCTGACATGGTTTTCATGTTGCTTTTCCTCCACTGGCGCCCCAGGTACTTGGTCTGTATTTTTAGCAGCTTCAGGACATAAAGTTGCAGCATGGCCTGTTTGACCTTGAGGGCCCGCTTTAAGATTGGAGCAGATTTAAACACCACCAGCATCTGCTCATTTAAAGAGGGATGAGAGTGAAGAAAGACAAATAAAAATATAACGTTACTTGGCGTTCCCAACTCATAGACAAATTAAGCTAAACCTGGCCGACCTGAGATTACACGGGGGAGCTTTTGGAAATTTATGGTCCAGGCTCCACTTAGATTTAGTCTTCAAGGAGGTCACTCCATTTATATTTCACAATTAAAAGTTTCTGATATCAGTATAAAACTGCCTCATTCTTTTTCATTGTTGTATAAGATTGTATTATAAGGATACACCATAAGTTATTTAACCAGTTGGTCCCGTATTAATGAGCATTTAGGTTGTTTCCATCTTTCATAATTACAAACAATGCTGCAATGAATAGCCATAGAGCTGCATCGTTTGGGATTTGTGAATATAGCTCAAATAACAATGCTAACTTCCCTACCAGAGGGGCCCTGAGGGAAGATCCACATCCAGCTCTCTAAAAAGCAATGTAAATATTTCTCTCATATAGAATAAATGCCCAGAATTAGAAGGGGCTAAATTTTTTCAAAATATATTTTTATTGAGTTCAGAGAAGGGAGAGGGAGGGAGAGATGGAAACATCAGTGATGAGAGAGGATCATTGATCGGCTGCCTCCTGCACATCCCCTGGGGATAGGGCCTACAAACCCAGGCATGTAGGTCGACACTCAACCACTGAGCCACACTGGCTGGGCAGGAGGGGCTAAATCTTACATAGCATTCAGTGTGTGTCTATAGAGCTTACAAAGCAGGAAGTCCATACAAATTAACTGAAGATTTTAAAAACTCAGTGAGATGGACACCTCCATGATCAAAAGTCCCACTCACCATGGTTCTGGAATGCTTCCATTTGGTCAGTTTATTGAGCAGCCTCAGAAGGTTGATGCAGGAAAAGAGGTTCCTCCAGCAGAACTGGTTGTTGTCTCCAGCTTCCTGTAATAAGGCATGCCCGTCATAATCTCCACACCCATAAGACTTTTATTTCCATAGATGCCTGAAGTCGCTGTTGGTCAATTTAGATGAGGCCTTCCATATAAAATGCTACCTCCTCACTATCCTGCTTTTCACACACTGAGGCCAAAACATGTAATATCTTTTATCTGGTTAGAAACATGACACACGAACATAGGAACTTCATTCAAGCAAGCTTTCTTGTGTAGCTTTCTAATTTAGGATCAGAGAAGAGATGCTTTCTACCCCATACACTTTGCACTTACATAAGCTATGTTTGTAACTGCCAGGAGTTATTCTGGTAGATTTCAAACTATGGTGGATGGGTCTGGTATTCATTGTGGCTGGATTTTTTAAATCAACCCCACCCTCCTTTATCAAACCATATTGCAGCAAATTGCTTAATTCTCCAGCACGGAAGAAAAAATGGCAGATGGTTAATTCTAACCAGGTGTTTCTCTTGTATGTTTCTTGATAACAAGAAGTAACAGATGGATGTCAGATTAGAAACAGGTATATACTCATAGAAACATCATTCAGGGACAAAAATAGAGTCCTTACGGATTTGGAGGCCTATAAATATATACTGGTGGCAGAAGCTATATAAATCAATGAGTACGCATGGTGGCCAAACTAACATCTTGGAAATTCCTCACGTCTACAAAGTGATAACATAACGTAGGAGTAGATGTATAGACGTGAACTGCTGTCTGGTGAACGGGAAATTAGCCCTCCTCTCCCAAATAGATTTGAAGCAAGCAAATGTAATGTGGACTGAACATCCAAGATTTTTGAGTGTATTAGGTTAATATACATAAGACTACGGATCAAAAAGTTTCAGGGAAGGGTCAATGGGGGGGGGGAGAATATGTAATACTTTCAACAATAAAGATTTAATAATAAAAAAAAGTTTTAGGGAATCCTGGCCAGTGTGGCTCAATGGTTGAGCATTGTTCTATGCACCCAAAGGTCCCTGGTTCCATTCCTGGTCAGGGATCAAGTCTGGGCTGTGAGTTTGATCCCCAGTAGGGGACATGCAGGAGGCAATTGATCAATGTTTCTTTTTCTCTTTCCCTTTCCCTTCCTCTCTCTCTAAAATCAAATTTAAAAAAACATTACTTAGCCCTAGCTGGTTTATTCTCTCTCCCTTTCCCTTCCTCTCTCTCTAAAATCAAATTAAAAAAAACCAACACATTACTTAGCCCTAGCTGGTTTAGCTCAGTGAATAGAGCTTCAGCCTGCGGACTGAAGTGTCCTGGGTTCGATTCTGGTCAAGGGCATATACCTCGGTTGAGGGCTTAATCAGAGAAAAACTTTAAATGTTATTTAAAGACTATCCTATACACTTAAAAAAACAGTACATTTTCTGTTTATAATTAATTAATTGAACCTGAAAAAGAGATAAATCTTACTCATATAAATATTAGTCTTTTCTGAGTACAGAAGCCATCAGTTTAGACAAATAAACCATTATATTGAGCACCTATGTGGAGTAAACTTGCTAGTTACTTAAGGCTGTTTACATAAGTTCACACAAACAATACAAAACAAACTGTGGTTACCAAATGAGACCACCAGGTGCCACTGTTGCTTCATAGAAAGGAGATGAAATACCGACCATGAATTTGTATTTTATTAAGACTAGACAATGCTTTCACCCACTCTTGCATAAAAATAAAGTCTTCTCAGAAGCATTACAATTAGCTAAGTAATTTTATGCTTATATCCTAAAAGGTCATTCTGAAGAGATACAGAGAACACATTGTACCAAGAAACAGAGTCAGGCCCTGGCAGGTGTGGCTCAGTTGTTTGGAACATTGTACCGTACACCAGAAGGTGGCGGGTTTGATTCCGGTCAGGGCACATGCCTGGGTTGCGGGTTTAATCCCTGGTGGGGGCATGTATTGGACACAACCGATCAGTGTTTCTCTCTCATATCCATTAAAAAAAAGAAATAGATTTAGGTCATAAAAGCTAACTATTTTCAAATACCCTACTAATAGAATTTGAATACTATCCATGTGCCACTTGTTTCTCATTCCAACTTTGAATGGCAGGGATGTAGGTCTCCACCCTTGCTCTGCTACATTCAACTGTAAAATTTTGGCAGTTACTTACTTCTCTATCCATAAAACAGTAATACCAACCTCATAGTTGTTTTAAAGATTGACTAATATGATGAACATAAACAGGGTTAGACACTTATGACCTCTCTCTGCAAGGGTAAGGAGCTCCTCTTGGCTGCTGAGACCACATCTAAGTAAGACAGCAGTTCTGCCCTGGTGCTAAAAAGGGTGCTAGACTTGGTGTCTCAGGACATGGGTCTTTCTCTAATTCAGGGTCTGTCATGAATAAAGCATGAACCATGAAAAGGCATTTTGTTCAATGGACATTTCTCATCTTTGAAATAGAGGTTTAGGCCAAATAGCTCTCATGTCCCCTCCAGCCAAAAATCCTATGGCTCTATAAAACCTGTACCACAGAAGGTATCATTCTGTTTTTACATAATAGACTTTAAAATATATGTATTTTTATTGATTTCAGAGAGAAAGGGAGAGAGAGAGAAACATCAATGATGAGAGAGAATCACTGAT